CCAGCGCTGGGGGGTGGGGGTGCCTGCCAGGTGCTGGAGGCGGAGAGCAAGCTGGGCTCTCGCATCCCCCCCTAAACTCCTACCAATCAGGTCATAGGTAACCCAGCATCCTTCGAAGCCCCCACCCAGCCACCCACCCACTCCCACATGAACGTGGTGGGGACAAACAGCGGGCAGACGTGCGACTCGGCCCGCGGGACCGAAAAGGCCCGGTCCTCAGTGTGGGGCAGAGACTTCGGTGTCCAGGCCGAGGGGAGAGGGCAAGAAGCAGGCTTTGGCCCCTGTGTGTGTCCCCAGGCTTTTGCCGAGCGCTGCCTGCAGACTCACTGCAGAGCGCAGGCCTTGGGGAGGGAGCGCTCAGGGGCCGGGCCCAGCTTCCCTGGACAGCCCCCTTTCACCCCCACCCTGCTGGCTATGTTGGATTAATAGACACTTAGACCCAGGACCCCTGCCTGGGAAGAAGGAGGGGGCACCGGTCACCTCTGAGTCAGGGGCAGGGCCACACGTTGGCCTGGTGAGTTCCAGGAGGCTGCCCCGGCCTGGGGGCCTCTCTTGCACCCCTCCCTGGCTCTAGCACTGTGCCCTGCTTTCATTTCCGTTGTTCCCCCCAAAAAGACTGATTTCTGGTCAGGGAGCGTGTTGTCCAGGAGAATATGCAGGTAGGGTTCATCCTAGATACATCTAAGTTGCCACACCCAGAGAGGCAGAGGACTCTTGGACTCCTTGCCCTCTTTTCCTTGCCTAGGATGTCCCCCTCCCCACTGCTCGGACTGGTTATGTAATTAACCCAGCAGAGGCTCTCTGCCAATCTGACAGTGTCCAGGGACGCCTGAGGGACCCAGGGCCTGGAGGGGCTTATAGGGAGGAGGGACTGGTCCTTACCCCAGTTGGGAGCCCATAAGCACCTGTTGAGGAGAGGACACCACATGGGGCAGGAAGGAGATCCGGGTCCTAGTCTTAGTTGACAACTCAACTGGCTCTGTGGTCTTCGCTTTCCTAAGTCTCTGTGGGGTTTTTTGGTTCTTGTTTTTACCTTCAATAAAATGGGGGAAAGAGTCACACACGCATGCACACAAAACATGTATGTGAGCAAAAGTGAATAGTGACCCATCCCAGAATTGCTAGGAGTTCCTAGCAACCTTAGGTGAAAGAAGGACCCCTGTACATAACCATGACCACTTCGTTGAACACCTGCTCTGTGCCAGGCACCAGGAATTACCTGTACAACCTCACCACACCTCTGAAGTTTCTTGCCCAAGGTCACACTTGAGGTGAACAGCAGACCTGGGAAATCAACCCTGGTGGGTCTCACTCCAAATTCTGCCCTTTATTTGCTATGCTGTTGGTACATATACCTAATGGGTTAGGTCTTCTGAACTAGGACAGACTGAGGTACATTCAGCTGTGCATGTGTGGAAAGAACGTGCATCCGCACAGAAAACATACACACAACCCGTAAAGCACGGCCCTATCCAAATCCAGCAAACCCATCTGCCCTGGACCCGCTTAGCAGGCACTGGTGTTGTCCTTCCTGGGAATAGTCCCCAACCAGGAGGTCTCAAGCGTGTAGCAACCTCCCTGGTCACCATCCTCCCCCAAAAGAGAAGGCACCTAGCTAAGAGATTTACATAGATTATCTCCAAAGTAGGGGTGATTGACCCATTTAATATATGTAAAGAGCATGGCTCAGATTGGGCAGGTGATTCGCCCACTGACCCACAGCTAGAAAACATAGCTGAGGTTATGCCCAAGCTCCAAAGTTACTGAAACTGAGCAAGCAAGGAGCTAATGAATCCATGGCAAGGTCCAACCTTGTAGCAGCCCTTTCCTGGCTGCTAGCACACCTGCTGTGTGCCAAGCCCTTTGAACACGGGTTGCCAGAGAATCAGACACAGTCCTTGTCCAGTAGGCATTACCAGCTGGAAGTTGGAAGTACTGTGACATTGTAGAAAGGAGTAGTTGGCATTCCCAGCTGCGTGACTTTGGGTACATTTCTTACTCCCTCTGGGCCTTCTCTCTAAAGTGGGAATACCTATCCCTTAGGGATATTGTGTTCCACTGGGGATAACCTTGTGGGCACGCAGAGTTAGTGCTCAACAAGTGTTGCCCTCCAGAGCCAAGTGGTCATCTCGTTCAGGGGTTCTCAATGGGGGCATTTGGAAATGGGGGGGGCATTTTGGGTCATCACTGTGACTGGAGGCTGCTGATGCTGGCCGCTGGGGATGTAAAACTTCCTGCAGTGTGCCAACAGTCTTGCCCAATGAAGAATTCTCCCTCTAAGGAATGCCAGGAGTGCCTCCACTGAGGCGCACTGGCCTAGTCTCGCCCTGAGGAGGAGACCCAGGCATGTCCTGGGCTCTGTGGGGAGCTGGGCTGTAGTGCTCATTTCCCTGCTCTGCACCCTGCCTCAGTTGGCCAAAAGTCAGGTCATAATACAGGTCACGAAAGGTTGATTTCCCTCTGGTGGGAGCGAAGGGAACAAATGAAGGAAAGATGGAGAGGATTTCGGTAGATTCTCGAGATAGGGGTTCTGGGCAAGGGAAGGCATTCTGAGTGGCAGTAAAAGCTTCAGCAGAGACCCTGAAGCCAGCCCACCAAGCGCACCTCTTGTCCCCACAGTCCAGGTGGAGGCCACAGAGGGCCCAGGGCGGGCAGGGGCAGCGATGATTGGTCCTGACGGTGGCTGAGCCCCCAGCCCCTGGAATATGCAGCCCGGGGGAGCCCCAGGCAGCGGCGAGGACGCGGTGGCGGCGCGGGGCGAGAGGCATGGTCTCCACCTACCGGGTGGCCGTGCTGGGGGCGCGAGGCGTGGGCAAGAGTGCCATTGTGCGCCAGTTCCTGTACAACGAGTTCAGCGAGGTCTGCGTGCCCACCACCGCCCGCCGCCTCTACCTGCCTGCTGTCGTCATGAACGGCCATGTGCACGACCTCCAGATCCTCGACTTCCCGCCCATCAGCGCCTTCCCTGTCAACACGCTGCAGGTAGGAGGGCCCACGGGGCAGGGGGCAGTGTGGGAGTGGAGGGGCAGGGGAGAGGCTGGACTCCAGCCCTCTCCAGGCTCTGGCCCTGTTGCCCGGCCTCCACCGCTGGCTTGGAGAGCTCTGCGCTGCACCAGGGGCCACCGGGCTTAGAGTAGAGCCCTACCAGGAATCCATTCATTTGTGTGCTGGTTTATTCTACAAATATTTGGTGAGTGTTTTAATGTGTGCCAAGCTCTGTACTGGGCACTGGGGTAGAATGGTCTGTAGAAGAGACAGTGGAAAAAAAGGCCAGGACCTGGGAAAAGTGTGTTCTCAGAGACAGGTCTCTTGCCCAAGGGCCTTTTCTCTTAAGTGATGCTCTGCCCTGGCTGACAGTGCTCCTTCCCCAGGCTCGCAGGAACCAAGTCCTCCTCCCTTCTCTCTGCCTCTGGCTTGAGAGGGGGTAGCTGAGCTCTAAGATACATCTGCTCACCGAAGTCAGCCCCTAACCAGAGTGTGCAGAGGTTTTGCTCAGAAGAATAGGCACAGTGGTGGAGACAGGAAGACAGGGGCCGTGGATTGGCCAGTTGTAATTGTGCAAATACAGCAATCTCTTGGGTAGAGGCTGGGGAAGGACCCGTGCTCAGCACTGTCTCAGCAAACTCGGGCAGGAGGGCCTTGGCCCAACCTCAAGGACACGTGTTTCTGCCATCCCAGGTGCAGGGTATCGGCACCAACGACAAAAGCCTGATCCACGCATCCACCCCTTGGGAACAGCGAGGTCAGGGCGGTGGGTCTGGGGTCAGGACCTAGTTCTCCAAAGGAGACTTTAACAGTAGCCTGAGTCTCAGATCTCACTCCAGGCCTGCACATTGAGCTTTTCCCATTTCGTTGTGTACTTAATTTTAATTTAATTTCAAGTTTGGTGTAGGTAAGACACAATTTAAAAGTCCAAACTTGGTAAAAAGGTACACCCAGAGAAATCTCAGTCCCACACCTGCCTGTTTTTTATGACTGTGTTCACCCTGATCATTGCTCCACTCTCTAAGGCCATTCTCATTGTTTTTTATTCACGCTTTCAGTGTTTCTTTGCACAACTAAGAAAATGTATTCTTATCCCACTCCCTTTCTTACATTAAAAAAAACCAACTGTTCTGCACCTTGTTTTTTTGATTTAACATTATAACCTGAAGGTCTTTCCATGTCAGTATCTAGAGGAGGTCATCTTCATTATTTTTTTATGATTATGCCATAGTCCTTTGGAGAGATGTACTAGGGAGTTCCCCAAATGTTGGACAATGGGTTGTTTCCAATCTTTTGCTATTTCAAATAGTGCCACAGTGAGTAGCCTCGTACACAGCCATTTAGTACATAGGGAGGTATATCAGTGGGATGGATTTCTGGAAAGGCATTGCTTAGCTCAAGGGTAAATGCATCTGGAGTTTGGAAGGTGTCAGAGTCCCCTCCCTGTCTGTAAAGTTGCAGTATACATGAGTGCTGTTTCCCCAAAGCCTTTTTTAAAAATTTGATTTGAATGAGAAATTGGAAGGGAGAGAGAGAGAGAGAAACATCAGTTTGTTGTTCCACTTACTGATGCATTCATTGGTTGCTTCTTGTGTGTGCCCTGACCACGATCGAACCCACAACCTTGGCGTATCATGACGAGCATGACGATGCTCTAACCAACTGAGCTACCCGGCCAGGGCTCCCCAAAGCCTTACCATCAGAGTGTATTGTCAAACTTTAGGATTTTAATAATCTGATCAATGAGATTTGATAGTCTCCGTGTAGTTTTTATTTGCATCTCTGATTATGAGTAAAGTTGGATGTTTAAGGGCCTTTGTATTTCTTTTTCTGACAACTATTAATGCCCTTTGCCCATCTTTCTATTGGATTGTTGGCCTTTTTCTTTCTGATTGAACCCAAGTTTTGGACTCTGCAGGATGTCCAAGACTTTACTCCTGGAGCACAGGAAAGGGGACTTTGAGCAAGGAAGTACTGAGAAGAGACCCAGGAAGCCTCAAAGATCAAATATAAAACCCAAGTATCCTGATGGCCACCACCTGAAAATAGAATAAAATTACATTCTTCCCCAATTCCAGATGAAATTCAGCCCAGGAGAGTGGTGTTTCCTGGGTCTGAGCCTTAGTTGTTCCTTCCACAGCCCCCTCTCCTCCTATCAGTGAAGGAAGCTGAAGTTGGAGGGCGCATGTGGCCCACCAAGGGAGTGATTAGCAAATGCACGGTTGAGACCCAGGTGTTGAACCTCTCTCACCTCCTATGTTCTTGGAACTGAACTCAATTTCCATCGCTCCTTTTCATGTTTTGACATGGTCCCAAGACAGCCCTTTACAACCTGGAACCCTTTGTAAAGCAAGCTGGAAGGGAAGCTGAGCTTTCTTGTTCCCTCTCTTCAATCGGGGGTGAAGGGACAAGCCAGCCAATTGGGAGCCTTCCTCCTCTCCCTTTTAGGAGCCTCCAGAGAGAAGTGGGTGGGAGGCAGCCTGGAGGAGGCAGCACGTTGGGGAAGAGGTGGAAGAGGTGGGGCTGTCACCCTGGAAGGCTGGCAGCTGTTCCCTCTCCCCAGCAGAGAGCTGGAAGAGGGAGGGAGCCTCAGTGCCTGTTTCCCCATTCCTCCCACTTCCCACTAATCTCCACTCCTATGTGGGTTGGGGGAGAAGCCGTGTTCAAATGTAGGTCCTCCGCTCCTGGAGCTCACTGTGTCCAGGGGAATGCTGTTTTCCCTGGTCCAAGACGCCAGTTAATGGTTTTCTACCCTGTTAGATTTGTCCTCAGCGTCTTCCCCCTGCACCAAAGTTAAAACTCAGCACAAAGAAAAGATGCCACATCATCTCCCTGGGGAAATCACTGCAGCAGCTTCTCAGCCTTTGAGTTGGGAAGTGCCTTTCTGGAGTCAGGCGCAACTCTCTACCAGTGCCACCAAAGTCTTTCCTTTTCATTCCTTCTCCGAGGTGGAGGACTAGCTGTAGTCGTCCTTCATGCCTGGTCTTTGCCCCAGCTCAACTCAGGCTGGCACAGGAGACATACCTGCACCTCTGTCTCATCTTTTGCCTGGCCCCTCAAAGGAGAAGACCCTGGTTCCCCTTGGCTTTGGAGGTCTCTCCCTCCCCCAACTTCAGAGACCACCTTCTTTCCACACACTGGCTCCCTTCAACTGCTCTTGCAATTGCCATCTGCTGGCAAGTTAATTAGCTCATTAATTCTTAAGGAACCTTCTCTTTAGTGCACTCAGCCTTTCCAGGGGTCTATTCATCTTCAGCTGCAACCCCACCCTGAGAATTTGCCACAAGCATTCAGGAAGTCCCGGCTCCCTAGAGCTGCCCTGGGCCCTACATCAGCCCCCACTCTGCATCCAGTCTCAGTCTTTTCTTCTGAGCAGAGTGGAACCGACAGAAAGGGCACATCAGGCAGCAATCTAAGGACAGTGTTACAGGCAGGAGTTGCATTGATCCCAGCACGGACCACGTGGGGTTCAGGACCATGGAGAGCTCACAGGTTAGGCGGTGCCCTTAAGGAGCCTGCTGAGAGCCCACACAGAGCAAGGCACTGAGTGGGGAGGAGGTATGTAAAGATGATCTTGGTTTGGCTCTGGCTCTCTCAGGAGCTCACAGCAGAAGTGAGGAGCTGGGGATGGAAACAGCTATAACCACAGGAGATGAAAGGAGTAGTCCCCTGCTTGTAGGAAAGCTTCTTGAAGGAGGCATTTGAGCTGAGCCTGAGAAGATAGAGACTTTTTCAGCAGGTCCAACAGCTAGTTCAGGGGTGGGCTCTTAGAGACACTTAATAAATGTACTTGAACAAAGATGGATGGATGGATGGATGGACGGGTGGATGATGGATTGGGGGACAAAATGGGACAAGGCAGATCCCAGCTCTAGATTTGCAAGGGCTGTGCAGTGTGACCTGCCCTATCCTAGCTTGGGATGGGGAAGCCACAGCACTGAGCTCCATTCTGCACTGGCTCTGGTTTCCTAGGGTTACATGGGTGTGGAAGGCTTAGGGTGCAGTGGCAGGTGAGAGTGCTGTCAACCTGTGGCTGGAGGTGGCTGGGGGCAAGGGGAACCCTCATGGCCGCTCTAACCTTGGCACTAACTGGGGTCTTGCAGGAGTGGGCCGATGCCTGCTGCAGGGGACTCCGGAGCGTCCACGCCTACATCCTGGTCTATGACATCTGCTGCTTTGACAGTTTTGAGTACGTCAAGACCATCCGCCAGCAGATCCTAGAGACAAGGTGAGGGTCCAGGATACAGTCCATTGCTACCTCAGTGGATGCCCCAGTGCTAGCCAGTGCCCATGAAAACAGTACAGTGGGGGGAGGCAGTTCCCGCACCTACACTCAAACACGCACGCACTCAGGACACTTTGCTGTCCCCATTTCTGTTAACTCCTTTTGGGACCCTTACGATGGGGTGGCTAGTCTAGTGCAGTGGTTAGATCAGAGGCTCTGGGGCAAGACTGCCAGGGCCACTCTGCTGAATGACTTCAGGCCAGTGAACATGTAAGGCTCAGGTTCCTCCCCTATCAAGTGGGGATAACAATAGTACCCCCCTTTTGGGTCAGTTGTGCAGATTAGAGAATATAATGTACCTCCAGAGCTAAGCCCTGCGCCTGGAACAGGTGGTGTAGTCCTATTACTGACCGGGCACAGCCTGCCCTCATTGAAGCCCAGTGGCTTGGACACTGGTGGAGTTCTGAAAGCCCCACCTCGCCCCCAGGGTGATTGGCACCTCGGAGACGCCCATCATCATCGTGGGCAATAAGCGGGACCTGCAGCGCGGACGCGTGATCCCGCGCTGGAACGTGTCACACCTGGTGCGCAAGACCTGGAAGTGTGGCTACGTGGAGTGCTCGGCCAAGTACAACTGGCACATCCTGCTGCTCTTCAGCGAGCTGCTCAAGAGCGTCGGCTGCGCCCGCTGCAAGCACGTGCACGCTGCTCTGCGCTTCCAGGGCGCGCTGCGCCGCAACCGCTGCGCTGTCATGTGAGGCGCCCACCGCCCGCCCGGCGCCCGCGGGCTGAGGCTCG